GCGCGGGGGGGGGAAGAAACGTGAACCGCCGCCTGCGAAGCGTGTCGGCATGAGGTGGGGGCGTAGGGGGGTTACTGCTTTCAGGTATCAGGAGAAAGGAGTTTTTCCTTCGGAACTTTTGCACACGCAAAATCAAACTGCTTAGACTTTCTGTGGGTGGCTGATGCACGGTTGCGCTTCTATTCGGCCACCCAAGTGCTTTTTTCAAGCTGTAAATGTAAACGTAAGATCTTCTCCTTGTATTTCTAGGGCTGTGCTTGTGTGGGGAGGGAAAAAATCGTCCCCGTTTCATAGAAGCTACTGACCACTCGCCAAAATGGTGGTTTTCACATGCAATGCCTGTGGAGAGTCTGTGAAGAAAGCGCAAGTTGAAAAACATGTGAACGTCTGCAGAAACTGTCAGTGCCTTTCTTGCATGGATTGTGGCAAGGATTTCTGGTAGGTGAAGGATGGGAAATAGCCTTGCTTACTCTGCAGGGGTTGTCACAAATACAGGATTTTCCTATACTATATTAGAATTAAATTTGCCAAATTCTAATAATTCATATATGTATTTAAAAAGTACACGCTTTTAGATAATTTAAAGCATAATCATCCAACTTGGAACAGCGGGGACAGCTAAACCACACAGTGAACAGAGTTGCAATTTTTTCTTTTACAGTTTTAAGTGACAGTGCTTTCAGCTTTTGATCATCAACAACTGTTACTTATTTTGCTCCTGTGGAGAGAGTGAGATTGGCAATAATATCAAAAATTCTGAATTTGGTTGTCATTCCTCAGCACTCAGAGGAAAGCAGTGCTGCTATCTGCTTTTGAAATAGAAATATATGAATTTGCATAAGAAAATAAGATTGTCCTAAAATAATGATTATATTTCTCAGTATTTAACTGATAAAAGATTAAGATCTATATTATTCATTCCTTTTTGGGGGCACTTCCACATTGGTCAGAACTACACTACCACATTAGTATATCTATATTTAGGAAATAGGTTTTTGCAAGCATTTTTTTACCTGGTTTTCTAATTTTAAAAGTGTGAGTGTTAAAACACAGATAATAGCTGTGCATACTTTACATGTACAAATATGCATAAGTTATAGAGTCATTAATAAAAGCAGCAGTATACAGAAGACTGATTTTGCAAGTCAGAAAAATTCACTGAAGGCTGTAGCATGACACAAATGTCAGCAGTCTTGCAAGCATGTACTTTAAGCAAGTTGAACTTTACTCATATGAGCATTGACAGTATTAAGGTTTAAATGACAGATGCTATCATCTACTACTTCAGTTTGTTGATTACATAAGTCTTGCATGCTTCGGAAGTCTGAAACACTTCAGTGAACTAAAGTTAAAAATCTCCTGTGTTCAAGGGGTGACGATTATAAGGAACATGTGAAGTGTGTAAGTGAAGACCAGAAGTACGGTGGAAAAGATTTTGAAGCCAAAACTAACAAAGGAGATGCTAAACAACAGGAGTGGATTCAGGTAAAGTTTGTACTATATGCAGATATGATAAATAACATTTTTTTATAATTGTTAAAGACACGAGAGAGGCTAACAAACCAGAGTTCTGTTTTTCCCAATATCCACAGCTTTCTTTTGGCAATTCCTTGGTAGGTCTATTACTTATCCTGGTAAGAAATTGGTTTGAATCTATCTCTTACTAGTTTGATTTACCATTCCCTAATTCTTGCATACAAAGAGGCATTGATCATTGTCTACCCTCTTCATGCTATGTACGCTTTTGTAGACCTCTGTCAGGCATCCCTCCTCATCTCATCATCTCTGTTCCAGGCTGAAAAGTCCTATCCTGCTCAGTTGTTCTTACATATGTAAATTATATCCGTGGTCCTCTGAAGTCTTCCCGGTTCTACTGTATCTTAGTAAAATGAGGTTACAGGAACTACATACACTGTTCAAGATATGGGTGAACCATAGATTTAGTCTGTGTCATAATGATGTTTTCTGTGTCCTTCTTTATTCCTTTCTTACTGATTTTTGTCAGTTGATCTTTTTTTTTTTTTTTTTTGAATGCTGCTGATCATTGTGCTGGCATTTTCATGGAATTGGTTATTTTAACCCCAAGATCTTGTGTCTAAGCTCCAGTGGTCAACTTTAGGCCTGCCATTTTAGATGTGAAGTTAGGATTGTTTTTCCTATGCATGCTGCTTTACATGAATTTGTGTTGAAATTAATTCACCTTTTTATTACCTAGTCACTCATTCTCTTAAGGTCTTTCTGGAATTATTCACAGTCCTCATGCTGAATAACTTCATATCATCAGGAAAATTTTCCTGCCCTCTTTTTAGATATTTTGTAAATATGTTGAACAGCAGAAACTCCAGCATGAATGGAAATGTCCACTGCCCTTCAGGTAGTTAGTTATCCTATGAAAAAACCTACCCTCTTACATCTGTTAGTTTCCTTTAAAGGTTTTAGGAAGGAACTCTCAAACATGTTTTTAAATCCTCATTAGATATAATTAGTTAGATCACCTTTATTCATGGATTTGTTGATTTCTATCCCGTATAGAACACGATCTAACAAAGTACTAAGCTATGTGGACACTCAAGGAATATGAACAATACTATTGAAGTCAACAGATTACTGCCATTGTTGAGATTGAATGTTGTTTGGTACGTTGTTCAAAGGCAGTATGATGTGAATCCTCTTGCTTATGAAAATTATTAGCCTTCCTCAATAGTAAGTACTTTCTACAGAGAAAGGTGAGGGATTATTACAGAGTGTCCTTTTCTGGTAGTCTTAACATCCTCAAAATCTTTCAGTAAAAAGATTTTCAGAAGTACAGGAAGGCTTCCCGGTGTCTAGTGGTGACATCTTTAAATAATGGGCAGCTCAGAGCCTTTTTGTCCCATGAGCAGCAGTGCTGTTCAAGTAACTGCCATAAGACCCTGTCTAACCTCCTCTGCTGTCTCATGCTGGCACCTGTAGCATAGAAATATTCCAGAGCTGTCTTAGAGGGATTAACTGTTGATGAAGCTCACTCTGCTGCCAAAAGAAATGCGTGTCAAATTGGCCTCAAAGTTACCCAGATTTTTCACATCTCTAGGAGTTTACAAAAACTAATCAGTTGACAATTGCTTTTCTTAATGTAGGTCTTTTTCACACTGCAAGAAGCTCCCATGTGATACAGTTACTTTACTTTTAAATATTTTTATTACAGGTTGTAACTTGAACATCAGAAAGCATTGGTGAGCAGTCCTGCTTGCTTCTGCTTAGTATCTAGGTATAAATATTTGTATAGATAACTTTTACACATCTTCTGATCTATGATAAAACAAAAGGTGAGTGTTCTTCCCATGGGTATTGAACAGTTCTTTCGAGCAGGCTATACAGTCTGTGGGTACTGGGTGATTTCTGTCCAATGTGTTTATAACTTGCATACCTTGCATGTATCATTTTATCATTATGCTTCTTTACTGATTTAATTCTGGTTTTCTTCATTCAGAAAATTCATGAAGTAATGAAGAAGCCAAACATAAGCCCTAAAGTGCGGAACATCCTGGAGCAAATGCGTGTCTTTGATAATATTCCAAGGAAAAAAGTAAAGTTTCAGGTATGTTTTAATAGAGATTTGTAGTAATCCATGCAGTGAGCTTTAAAATAGACCTTCTTAGCGAGTGCCACTCTCTTTTAACAAAGATGGGACAAATTGCTTATTTGGGCATTAGTAAATAGATGGTGTAATAGCTGAACTTAAAATAGGCAATGTTTGTAAAATTTATCTCCTTGCTTAAAAGTGCTATTTTAATTAGGTATTAAGCCAGAGACTCACCTTTCAAGCTTAATCTCCATGTGTAGGCTTGTTCTTTTTTTAATACCTGTCTTTTTCTCTATTTGCAATTTCTGTTGAATGTCCAAATTCTTAGACATACTTTTAAAGGATTCTTATTTCTGTGGCTTGGTTTTTTCCTGGTAAAGGCAAGGTACTGTTTTGAGAGTTTTCCTGTTGCTCAGTATTCTGACAGAATCTCCCACACTGCATGCTTCGCTAAACTTTGCATCACAGACAAAGCAAATTCCAAATGTTTCATGTGGTATCAGTGAAGAATTACTGGCAAGCTGGGCTTTTTTTTTTTTTTTTTGCTCCCCTGTGTTCTGTGCCTCAGATTGTGAGGCTGAGAGATCATGATTGCTTCCAAAGCATTCAAATAGAACCTAATAGAGCTGCGGTGAAATTGGTGCTAGTGAGCTGAAGGTTACAACATTTTTCGAAATTAATGTTCTAAACAGGAAAAGTGATACTGTCAAGAAGCCTGTTTCTTTTTGGCAAGATGTTTTGCACTGGAAGATCAAAAGGTTGTGCAGTTCATTGTTCCAACTTAGTAATGTAACTTTCCTGGGATTTCCATTGCAATGCAAAAATTTTTACATTAGGTTTTACTTAGAATTCCATGTTCCTGAAAGTTGATCTGTTGCTGATAGATGCAAGTAGAAATTTACTGCTTTGTTTTAATTTTCAGCAGCAATAGCCCCAACAACTTTCAAATGTTTGCATTGAGTTACTTGCTTAAATTTTACTTTTCTGTAATAATCTAAGGTGTCTATTTAGGAGCATGACCATCTGTCCAGTACACGAATAAATAAATAAATAAGATTGGATCCTTAATGTTTTAACTCATGGAAACAGTCAGAAGGTTTGGTAGGACATTAACATAACCAGCTGTATTCAAAAGGTGGATGGATTATCCCTTCTATATACTTACTTCTTCTGGGTTACAGTTGGTGAGGCAATTGAGAGGAATGGTACATCCTCATAGCAGTATGCAGGCATTATGTGAAACAATTTAGCATGGAGGTTTAAGAGATTCATAGAAAGTAAACATCTAACCAGATCTTAATCAGAAGAAATTATTAGATTCCTAAATGAAAAATAAAACCAAGAACCAAATACATGGTAATCAAGAAAAAAAACAGATGCACCTTTTCAGTTATTGTTGTTTATTTTCCTGCACAGAACTGGATGAAGAACAGTTTAAGAATTACTGACAGCACTTTGCAAGACCAGGTGTGGGATATTTTCTCTGAAGCAACCAGAAACGTAAGTTCAGTACAACATCATACAACAGGAACACAGTGAAATGCTTTGAAAACCTTTCAAAGGGGGAAAACCCTCCCTTTGTAGATGTTAGCAGAAATATCGTCTCCCATTGTTACAGTGGATTATCTTATAATGTAACATTCCTAGGCTAAATTGCTCATTTGTGGAATATTCTGTTGCTAAAGTAGTTGTGCATACTGGGGAGGTTGTGATTAAAAATTTGGACACAGTGGCATGATTGTGACATGATAATCAGACTAACTTTATTCTATACTATTAGGACATAAGGAAAGGGAAAAACACTATCTTTGCTTCCAGTCTTTTACCACACACTAAGAAGGAATAAAACAGCATCTTTTCAGAACTTTAATGGCTTCAAATTAATGTTTATTGGGGTGTGAAATTAACAGCACCTATTTTACCTATTTTATTAGCAGAGAGATGAGATCCTCCAGTTTGTGGTGCAAATTCCTCCCATTTCTGTGTCTAAATCGTGGACTCCCACTGACCTTTTTTCTCAGTGCCTAATTCGCTATTTCAGTACTAGCGTAACATGTTTTGGTAGGGTGTTGTTTTGATTGTTTGTTTACATCTATTGCTGCTACTAGAAAGCTGTTACAGAAGCTTACTTCTCTGTTGATGTAAAGATCGCTCTCCCTCTCCTCCCAGCTTCTTTTGAGGAAGAGCACAGGCATAGCTTTGACATCAATCCCTTGTTGATCGTGCTTCATTTTCCTGATTTGATGATTCCAGTTAAATCTATTTGTAGTTTTTCTGAAGCATCCAAATATAAGAGCCAGGAAGGAAGGAAATATTTTTTTTTTAAATTATATGAACATAACATAAACTTTGGGCACTGAATTTCAAGTACATTGTCTTGCTGGGATGTTAATTCTGAGTTGGTACAACTTCACTAAAGCCATAAGCAGTTCCCTCTTGATTTAAACTGATTTTTTTTTAAAAAAAAAAATCTTGAATATGAACAACTATTTTATTTAAACCCAAGTCAACAATTTACATTTTCCATAAAATATAGCATTAAAGTAAAATATATAACACAGCTTTCTTGCTCAGATTGTTTCAAGGCACCTTTAAGAGTTCTTAAAAACATCTCAAGATATTCTCTGTAATACATAACTTGAAGTGTACATACTCAAAGAAAGTTCTTAAGTGGAATTCAAATTGAATTGAAATTACTCTTTACAAAAGCATGTTGGTATTAAGTTGCTTGTATAAACATGTATTCTCTTTCTAAATAGCCACATTAACATTTCAGTAATTATATTTCACTTGTACTTATTAAAGTTTAATTTAAAGATAAAAATGTTCATTAATATATTCTTCTAAAAAAATAAATTATAAGCCCAGGAACATTAAAAGGAAACCAAATATACAATATATATAAAGTACAATTAAAACAGCCAGCACTGCCTTTGTTGACATCATGCAATACTAGTTTCTTGTCCCAGACATATCCCAAGACAGGGAACTGGGTGGCAAAGCTAAGATTATTATTCAAGGGATGTATATTTGGGAATAGGTTCTGTATCTTTCTGTAATATGCTGTATTTTTGTCTGTGTAAATCAAAGAGTTGTCTCTCCCTTAACTTAATTACATTTAGCAAATATGTTAAAAATACATAGAAGATTATTTCAAATGGAAATTATATATGTTCTAAGATGACATTTCTTCTGTCATGTTCAGGTAATTAGCATTTAGGCTGTAAAATTAAAAGAAGAATCAGTCACATTATTTAGTGCTATTTCTCGGGTGGCTGGTGTCCCCACAGGTAAGCAATTTAATTGAATTCAGGATATTAGTGTTCTTGAATGACCTAGTAGAGAGAAGTTACAGTGTCAAAAAAGTCATATAAAAATTGTAATAATCTGTTTTTCAACAAAAGATTTCAAGTGAAAAAGAACAAGACAAACCACAACAGAAAGAAGAGCAGCAGTCAGCAGACACTGGTGAAAAAACAATGGCAGAAGAAAATGGGATTACAAATGATAAAACTGAGAGGAAAAAGAATAAGAGAGAACGAAAAGAAGAGAGACAAAAGAACAAAAAGAAGGAGAAAAAAGACTTGAAATTAGAAAACCCGTCAGAAGTAAAAAAGAGTAAAAAGTCCAAAAAAGGAAAGGAGAGCTTGGAGAAGGAATTTGAAATAAATGGAAGTGGCCATGAGAGTGACATAGAAGAAGAAACAAATGTAAAGAAACGCAAACATAAACATGCAGAAGGTATCCATCCTACACCTTATATTCTTGTTTGTTTTCAAGATGCTTTTTCCTCAGTGCCTTAAAGCTCAATAATTACTTTTAGTAGAATTTTTAAAGTAGTAGTTTACATATACAGATTACATTAATTTTAACACTGTGGTTGCACAGTCCTTTTAAAAAATCTGAACCTCGTAGCCAATACAAACTCGTGTTAGAAGAACAGAAACTTTAAGTCACGTCAGAACTTTTCTTCTAGTTTTAAAACTTTTTGTATATGTTTATCCAATTCCATCTCTAGAGGAACCTCATATCACAACAAAGAGAATGAAAACTGAAAACATTTCAGAAGACATGGAGACAGAAAACACTAATGGCAATGAAGAAAATGTGGGAACAGATAAAGGTATTCTTAAAGGGGGAGTTTAGGTAGTTACAAAAATATTCTGAAAAAGACCTAGTGCAGAATATAAATACAGTGCCTTTTGCAGCAAGCCATGAAATAAATTGTGCCTCAGTATATATATGTATATTCAGTATACGGTACCTGTTGCAGAGCCTGTGCTACACTTAACACCTGATGCTGAATTACTGCTCTCATCTGTTGGTTCTGCTGAGCTGGCAACCTTTGGCTACACTTGCTTTTGCTGGGCAGGGAGGAATTTGGCATATTTGTTTCTCCGCAGCAGGTCTCTTCCCTGCTGCCATGCACATGAGCCAACAGAGAGGACAACAGCTCTCTTGCATCACTTTGTATCTCTTATCTCCCAAGTTTTGCTCGGTGAATCGTCAATGGGACTTTAGCTGTGTTTGACCTTGGTTTATGCTTAGATAAACCTACTTATGCCTATCACCCAGCACACTATTACTGTCAGGGAATGTCTGTATTTAACATACAGATTGTTTATTTGGAAACTACATGTTAATGACCTCTGCAGTGGGTACTGTGTGAAATTCACTACCTGTGCTCTAAAGGTGAGGAGACAGGAGCGTCCCAACTATTCCTGTATTATGTAAGAGTTGCTGCTTAATAGCTGAAGCTCAGAACTTAAGTAAAAGCAATCCTGACCCTAGCTGTTCAAGTAGTACGTGTGTTCTTCACCTCTATCTTACTGTAATCTTAAGAAACACCCTACCCGACTTTATGCTTAAGACACCCTCCTGTTGTAGGGTGAGTAAGATAACAATGAACTGTGGTGGTAGCTGAACTGTTTCCAAAATTAGGAAACTGAAGACTGGTTCCTACTAAGATGACGACCTGGAAATACCTGATTTCACTAATGATGTACACCTAATTATTTCCTAGGTAAATTCAACTGGAAGGGAACCATCAAAGCTGTTCTGAAACAGGCTCCAGACAATGAAATTTCCATTAAAAAACTAAGAAAAAAGGTACTGTATAACATAGTTTTTAAATCTCCTTTGTTCTTGTGAATTTCTTTCTGTAATGCTTAAGTTCATAAAATCCTGTCCCACACCAGCAAAAAAATTTGACAAAGCAAATTTTGCTTTGACTTTGCTTGCTTTTTTGATCAATTATCCAAGTAATTGATATTTAACAGACTGTCAGTAGACGGAATATCAACTGAAGGACATGTTCTTTATTGCTTACTGGACTAGAGGAGACATTGAGTGCTAATTCTGAAAAGGAATAAAAGCATAATAAATTCCATGCTACTTTTAATATATTAACATGAATGTAGTATTGCTTACAGTGGAATTATCGTCACTAACTCAAAACTGTTGCTCTGTCTTTGTGCAGGTTATAGCTCAGTATTACGCAGTAGCTGGTGAACATCACAAATCAGAAGAGGATATTCTAGTCATATTTAATAAGAAGGTCAATAACAATCCCAAGTTTAAAGTTTTAAAGGACAAAGTTAAACTCCTGAAATAAGAGTTTGCATATTTTTCATAACCTTTGCATTTTAATCTTGCAGTTAAATTCTTCTCTCAGCTGTACAAATACCACGTATTGGTCTCAATTTAAATTGTGTGTGTGAGAGCAGAATTTAAAGACTGGTTCCTCCTCTTTTTCTAGATTTATCACAGAACATTTTCAGATATTTTATTTTTCGATTTTATGGAAAATGTATATTTTTGGTACAAGTATTAAGAGGCATTGAAAATAATTGTTGCCTACTATATTAAAATTCTACCAGTAATGGCTATAATTTATAGGCATGAATGTTTATCAGGACCTGGGTTGTGCAGATTTTTGTAGAAACTATTCTAAGAGCAAATAAGATTTTCATATTCAGAAACCCACCATGGAATAAATGTTTTGTTACGCTGAAATTCAAAATGGTATGACAGATATCCCCTTTACGCACTGTAGCTAGTATATGCATATATAACCTGTTAATTTTAATAACCTGTTAATTTTGTGTCATAAAATGCATAATTAAAGCGTCTGTCAAATTTGTGTATGTAATATTGCACATTGGGTGAAAAAAAATCTAATGACTTAGTTACCTGTATATGCATAGCTACTCAATGTTTTAATTAGTGATGCAATTGACTTCAATGTAAGTGGTCACATGGACTAGAAATTGACTGATGAAATAAATTTCTTTAAAACACCACCTTAAATATAAAAAAATCTTGCCACTTTATGATTATGTAATAAATTCACAAATTATACAAAATTTGAAGAGGCTGTTATATCGCAGTCACCGAAACAATTTAGGCAGGCCAGAAATCTTACATGTAACGTAAGAGACAGAGTGGCCTGCAGAAAGTTACTAAAAGTTTATCGGGTTTTAATCAAATGCAAAATACTTCCAGAGGGGGAGTTTCCTACCATGAAGTCATCTGTTAAAAACAGAAGTAGAAAGCCAGTGAAAATGTCTTGCAATAGGTGGTATGGTGGTGTGGAAATTGCATAGTGCTTGAAAGCACATACACTTTTACAAAACTCCATAATGAAAATACGTGAATTTATAGAAATACTGAATATATTAAAAGTATAAATACGAAAAGATTAACTGATACACTGGGTCCAGTTTTTCTGAGTACTTATTTGTTTTGTTTATTATAAAAGTTGAAATAAAAATGCCTAATAAATTAAAGATCTCTTCAAAAAGTGTTTGTTGTTAATTCATGAGAATGGCTTTGGAGATAAACAGAATAAAATTTATTTACAGACATGGAGAAACTTCGAGAAGTTGTTCGAACACATTTAAGAAACTTAGACTTCTTTTTTGTTTGTTTTTAATTTAGGAAAGGACATACAAAATAGTAAGTCCTTGTAAATGAAACAAATTAATACAGTGCTGTTAATCTTTTCACCGTATGTATTTTACAACAAATGTTGTTACATTAAGATCCTAAATAGTTTTGTTACAGTAATTGTTACAGGTTTTAAGAATTATTTTTGTTTAGAATTCATTCCAAATTATGCCATTCTCCTACACTTTTCATTTTCCATTGCTGTTGACTACAACATGTGTGAACGTATAGAAACTACGTTTGCTGAACTTTTGCTGATGATATCCTAAGTTCTTGCAATGACAGCAGCAGTTACGGATGCAGTCAGCAGCTGTTGCAGTTGTGGTGGTTAATTCTGTACTGTGCCTCCATCATTTCCTCCCTACCCTCAAATGAGGATCTAACCTCTCTTTCTGTCCTGTGCTTCAGAACACCCGTCCCATGTCCACAAGCCAGGATTGTCCTCCTGCTGCCTGCCCCGTGGCAGCATACCTCGTAGCTCCGCTCAGTCTGTGCCCAGGGTGGCAGGAGCGCGTTCTGCCCCGAGCTGTGCAGTTGCACCGCTGGCCATGCGACTTGCCAACCTGCATTACCCACACATTTTTTCATTAAAGGCCTACTATTTTCTCAACATGCTTATGAACTCATGAGCTGCATCTTTTTTCCTTTTTCAAACTGGTAACAGCAGTTTGGATTGTTTATGCTACACATTTAAAAATAAATACTCACAGCCAATTCGTACTTTGGAGTGTTTTGAGTTACCTTTCACGGCTTGGGAGAATGACAGTTCCTGCTTGTGAAAACAATCAGCATTTTCTAATCTGCAGATGAAAAAGCTGATCTATGTTATATGGAAACAAGAGTCTAAAAGAACCTTTGAAGTTATACAACGGTTCTTTTTATTCGGTCTAATAGATAATTAGATACTTCATTCATGTCATTGTCAGGTTCTGGTGTCTGATGCTCGGGGTTTACTTCAGTGATCACTACAGGCTTCTCTGAAGCAAAGCAACAGACTACATGTGTAGAAACACCTCACGTCAGTTTAAAGCTGAAAATAAGGAATAGCAAATCAACAGCATGCAGATGAGCTGTCTGGGTAGGATTTGACCTTGGTATTTTCATGCAGTAACTGTTGTGATTCTCAATGGTTCAAAGGCCTAACTTGCCCCATGCGTAGCTGTGGTTGTGCATAGGGCCTACGTGGGGTAGGAAACGTGACTTTTGCATCTTGTTCTTCCCCTCTCTTTTTCCTAATGATTTGGCAGACGTGGAGCAAATTAATGCCTCTTCACTGATGGTCACTAGCAGGACTATTGCGAGTAAATCCTATTACAATTACAGTAGTATTACCTAATTATACATCATTATAGTAGTATTACCTTTTCTTAGTCTGTTGGCAGAAGGAAGGAGCGGAGGGAGCAATATATTTTGTAGGTATATTTTCTTTTTGAATGTTCCTGGAAGTACCGTAGTATGGTAGATGAGGCTATGCCTCTAATTATAGATTACTTCAAATGCTGTCGAAGTCTCTGCATAGTCGCTTTATTGACATGCAGCTCTCCAGTAAAAAAAAAACAACCACAACTCTGCTTTTTCATTAGACAATTAATAGAGAACTCAAATTGGCTTTTCCACTTATAACAGATTTAAGCTTTAATTTACTGCTTGCAACAAATGATGTCTCAATTAGATTGAAGTTATCCGGTTCTTTAAAGCTACCAATTTAGTGGTAATCATTTCCGAGGGAGACATAATCCCTTGCAGACCGTTCAGAATATTTCACGAAGACAGAAAAACAGTAAGACCTATCTAATTTCTATTCAGTGATTAATCAGCATATTTACCAGTACTTTTTAAAATCCCAGGGACCTGTTGCAATGAAGTTCTGTACCTTGGATGCTCTTTTGGTTTTAAGTGCAGGGGAGGGAGGGTGTACAACCTTAAGATTTAACAAATGCAAGAGGGCAACAGTATCAACTTTCCAGATTGCATTCAGAGAGCATTTAATGTGTAAAAATTAATATCCAGACAGTATAACAAAACAGCAAGGCACAACCCACAGTGGTAATACATGCCGAGCACCTGCTTGCAGTTTAATTAATATGTTCATTAAGCATTATTATCTGATCCCAGCTTCTAGGTCAGATGACTTTGAATGAACAGCTCTTAAGTCCTCATTTGAGTGATTTTGGGGTCTGTCACCTTCAAGCACAAATGACAGGACTAAGATCCACCCATGCATGCATGTATTTGAAGAAGGCAGGTCTAGCTCACAGTAATTGCAGTCGTCCTGGATGTTGTGCATATGCTGATGACTGCCATCCCTCCCTAAACTGACTACTGCAAGCCGTTGCCATCGATGCCAAGTTTGATGCCCATGGAAATTTAGCTGACATGATCCATAACTGACGTTTTAAATACATTTGACAACAGGCACATGATGAAACAGAAAGTTCGTCATCTTTGATCTGGGTTCTCAGCAGCAAAGTCAATTGATTAGGGTTATCCATGGGCTAGAAAGCTGTGGGTGAATTTATCAAGCACGCTACTGACCTCCTGTTCAAAAATATATATAGTACAGAATATTTAAAAGAATGTCATGACAGTATTAAATAGCCCTTTAACATTTTATCTGACAGAACAGCTGCAGTCTTGGACTTTCTTTTAACAGCATGCCAGTGTATGGGGTTTGCGTTGCCAGAGAGGACTTTATATACTGAACCACTGAGTTCATTTCTTGTAGTATTTGGTCATGACACCATCAAAACCACATCCGAGTAATGAGTTCAGTTGTGTATGTGGGGAGATTCAGCAAAATCTGCCACACATTGCAGTCCTATCATTAAAAAAACCCCACACAAACCCAACAGCAAACCAGAGACCACTGAGCTGTTGCAGACCCTCGAAATCGAAATTGCTGGCTTACATTTCCACTTTCTACTCTGATATCTTTCCAGCTCTAACAGATCCTATCTTTTGGTACACGAATTGCTGTGCAGTTCAGATAATATTAGTATTATGCAGCTCATTAAAATAAGACTTAAGCATTAAGTGTTTGAACATCAAACAAACAAACAAAAAAACCCCAACCCTGAAGGCCAACAGCACCTCTTCAAATTCTTTAGACGAGGTATTTTTAGAGCATCCTCACCTTTTTCACTATTTTTTTTCCCTGTGCTTTCAAGACAAGGGGGCATTGCTTAATGTTGATTCTGCAGGGTGGCAGAATCATGTGGCTGATGGACATGCACCTTTTGTTGTGTTTTTCTCACTTGCAGTCAACAACAGTAATATTCAGAAAGGGACTTTATTATCTTGTAGCTGCCACTCTAGATTCTGAGGAAAAGAAAGGGAACCCTTCCAAACTTTTGCCAAGGCACGAAAAGCTGCTGTAAAATCACGTAACTTTAAGAGAAACATAGCACAAGTGTCAATTCTATTTTGTGCATTTCCTAGTCTATTTGCATAAATTTATACCATTAAAGCTAGCATTGTAATATAGTTTGTACAGACAGATCTCAGTAAATGAGAATGTAAATGAGTTCTGGTTTTACTAGCAAGACCTAGGTATTTAAGTGTTATAGTATGAAAAAAATCATACTATTCAATATTTACTTTGTAACTACATATTTTACACTTGATCTGTTTCAAAGTGAGATGTGAAAACAGACAAAATTAAGGTTA